TCCAGGCTCTGAGCTGGCAGTCAGCACAGAGCCCGACGCGGGGCTCGAACCCACGAACCGCGAGACCATGACCTAAGCGAAAGTCGGACGCCTAACCGACTAAGCCACCCAGGCGCCCCGGGGCAGTAACTCTTCAACCTGCTCCTGCCTCACCAGGTCAGGAGACAGAGCCTCTGCGAGTGCGGAATCTCAGGTACACCCACGTCACACCTCTCACACCTGACCTCCTGCAGGAAGCAGATGTCTGAGTTCTAGAGCCAGCATCCACGACCCAGAAGGGATTTTTGTGTGAGGACCCGTCGCTGTGGGAGGCCAGCTGATGTGCTGCTGGCAGATTCCACCCTGATGTTCTCAGCCTCCACTCCACAGATGGTGAGGGAGGAGTTGGAGCCGGAGTCAATTCCCCAGAACCGGGACGAGTTCCGGAGGTCCGGGCAGAAGCCCCAAGGATGGGCAGCCGGGGAGGCTCGTCTGGCCTCTATGGGAACCAGGCAACGGAGGGACCTACCTCCACGCTGCTTCCACGGGTGATGGAGACGAAGCTGTCCTGAGGCGCCGCAAGGGTCTCTGGGGATTGAGTGAGGAGGAACCGCCCTCCTCAGACTCCATAGACACCACATCGGGGCACCACAGTGTATTACTTCGCTCAAAGGCTTTCAGGCAACATGGTTCCTCAAGAGAGCGATGTCAGGCTTTAACGTGGCACAAACTGGAAATCAAGTGCCTCTGGGCCTTCCCACCTTTGCTGTGTCCAAGAATTCATGTAGTTGTTGATGTTCCTCAAGCCCAGGACAAGTTATGAAACGTGACCCAACAGGGCACAGCCCCACTGCAAGAGGCTGATCGATGAGTCCCTCCTTTGTAGCCAACCTCACAGACAAACCCTCTCCATGGCCTGATCACAACCTCGTGTGTGACTCCCAGCCAGGTATGGTCTCCTTGCCCAGCCCTCACTGCCACACAGGGCTGCCAGGACTGAGACCCAGGGGTCTCAGTGGGCGGGTCTGTCGTCATGTGGCTGCTTCTTAGATTTATAGTTTACTTTCTGGTTTCCAGAACCAGCACTTCGAAAAAAAGAATCCTGAGGTGGAGTCAGAACCGCAGGTTAACAAGGGCCCGGATGTGTGAGGGAAGGAAGCTGCCCTCTGAAGGCACTGATGTAAGGCCTGTGCAGGCAGTGAGGGGAACTGGGGGAGAGGAATTCAGAGCAGGAGCTGCACAAACACCCTGCAGTTCCACTCAGTGACCAAAGGGAGATGCACTGGAGGTGCTTGGAAGAGGAGGTGGGGAGCCAGTGCCAGAAGGAAGAGGGGGGATGCCATGTCAGAGCTTTGGGCCCCTCCCCTGTCTCCCAACAAGGTCCTAGACCCTCTGCAGCCCCAGGGCAGGAGTGACAGCTGGATGAGGTGTGTGCTCAAAGAGGTGACAGGAGGAAAGAGCCTGCGCTCCTCACAGCATCTTGGTCATTGATGGTGAGGGTGACTTCTGTCCAGACCAGCTGCCCGTGCAGGCAGGTACCTTGCCCAGGGGTCGCTGTGAGTGAGCAGAAGCCCCGGGAGCTCTTCCTCGTTTCTGGTGAGTTCAGATTCCAGCAGTGTTGATTTGCTAGCTGGCTGGCTCTGCAGGGGATGGTGACCCTCTCTCCTGGGACATGGAGAGGGAGGGAAACAGGACATGTCCACACAGTGTCCCCACAGGCACCTAAGAGAGAACGCCAACATGGGCATCCCCAAGCATTAATACCAAGAAGAGAGCTCATCAACCAGTTTGCTGCATTACTGGTGCAAGGTTCAATGTGCAAGTTTAATGCAAAGAAACTGAGGATGAAGCCTGAGTCCTTCCTCACCAGAGTCGGGTCCACAGGAAGGAAAGGAGCAAAGCTGGTGTCCCCACATCCCCGAGGTTCCTGCTGAAGCTGATCCTGCTCCAAGAAGGGAGGGAAGTGCCCTGAAACACAACCACACAAAGGGGATGGGGCAAGGCCACGTGGGCATGGAGCACAGCCATGCAGGGGGTTTTCTCCACCCCCGGGTACACAGGCCGCTCCTCCCAGTGTCCCCATCACACCTGAGACCCATTCAGCCTTCAGAGCTCCTAGGGGATAGATAACTGGACAGTATCACTCTTGCCATCTCAGCATTTTAGGATCAGGACTGTTTCTTTGGTTTACTGTGGGGTCTGTCTGCCATCTAATGGCTGTGTGGTGATATAGCAACTGTCAGGATTTTCTGATGTGGGGTCCTGAGTCTGGGCTGAGACTCTTCAGTGTCACTCATGAAATTGACACTATGACAACCATCACTAGGCCAGAGTACTACGGAACACACAAGATTCGTCTCCTTAATAAACTTTCACCTAGTAAGTAACAAAAGACTCATATATAACCAAGTTTGGTTTAAAATGGATAAAATATGTTTGTCATCTTTAGTGTGATTTACATATACCTCATCTCGTGACTTCTTTCAAGACAAGACTTGTTTTCTACCTTCATGCTACTGAAAATAAATGTGAGACATTATTTATTATTTCTAAGATTATTGAAATGGCACTGGATGGTCCTTGCCTAAAGCTCAGCACAGTTGGTTTCTAGCCCTGGGGTTTTGGGGTTTGGTTTTTGTTTTAAGTAAATAGCCACAGATTAATCAAGTCACTGATTGACACACTGCAGGAAGGGCCTGGAGCAGGGGAAGCAACTGAGCATGGAGTCTCATGGAGGTGGGTTTTGTGGAGTGTGTGTTGGGGGCTGCATCACTGTGGGAGGAGGGAAGGAAGATGGCGGCAGCTTCAGCCTCCTGGCTGCTGATGGTGCGTGGGAAACCCCTGTCAGACTACCTGCTGCTGAGCCATCCCGGGACCCCAGGCTGTAGCTGGGAAACCTGGTAGATGAGGTGCTTAGGTTTTCTCCTTTTCTGTTGGAACCAGTTCAAATAGGTTTTCCCATGAGTGTCCTTGACTCTTTCATTGTCCTTGTGGGTAATGAGGATTCTCTATCCAGGAGCTCCACACAGAGACTGGGGACTCAGTCAAACATAAGGTCACCATAAATACCTGAGGATAAAAAGGAATTAAAAAAAGACAAGAAAGAGGATGCAGTCGTATCTCCCTCTGCATTTTGTCTTCGTAATGTAAAAACGTGTAAAATGTGTTCCATTACACTAGCCTTACTTATAACAAGTTGTGTACAAAAATCATTAAAAATCTGAAAGACCCCATAGAAATATTTTAGTAAAGGCTTTGGATTCAATCTCAATCTACAAAATATCTAGGGGTGCCTGGGTGGCTCAGCCAGTTAAGTTTCCCACACTTGATTTCAGCTCTGGTTATGCTTTCACAGTTCATGGGAACCAGCCCCACATGGGGCTCTGCACTTACAGCATGGGGCCCGCTTGAGATTCCCTCTGTCCTTCTCTCTCTGCTCCTCTCCCATGCAGGTTCGCTCTCTCTCACTCATTCTCTCTTTCTCTCCTTCTTCTATCTCAAAATAAATAAATAAAAACATATATAATATTATAGTGGGTAAGAGAATATTTTTGCAAATAGAGACTTTTTTATGTCATAAAGTGAAAGGCTCAATATTACTAATATTAAAATTTCAAGATTCATATAAATATTCAGTATAATCTGATTAAATTCCAAAATGACTTTTCAAAATTGATAAACTAATTCCAGAATTAATGCGAAATTTATATGACCTACAATATCCAAGCATCTCCTAAGAAGTAAAATAGAGTAGAAAACTAATGATATGAGGTGTCAAAAGTTATTACAAAGCTGCATTATATTGTGTAGTGTACATGAGGTATAAAGATAGACAAGAAACACACTATACAGGAACTCTAGGAAGTGACCCACATGTACACCGTTCCTTGATTTCTAACAAAGGCAACAGGGTGGATTATTGGTCATTTTCCTTTTTTAATAAATTATAAATATGGAAGAAAAAACCTTGACCCAACTCACATCAAGCAAAAGCATAAGTTAGTGGTGGATCATATTTCTACATGTAAGCATTAAAGTAGTTATGCTTCAAGAAGAAAGCATAGGAGGTATCTTTGGTCTCTAAAGGTGGAAAATAGATTTTTATATTTTTAAAAAAATGTTAATGTTTTTATTTATTTTTGAGAGAAACAAAGAGAGAGAGACAGAGACAGAGACAGAGAATGAGAGTACGCTAGTTGGGGAGGGGCAGAAAGAGAGAGACACAGAATCTGATGTAGGCCTCGGGTCTGAGGAGTCAGCACCGAGCTTGACGAGGGCTCAAACTCTGAACTGTGATATTATGCCCAGAGCTGAAATCAGACACTCAACCAAGTGAGTCTCCCAGGTGCCCAGAAAGAGGAGGTAAAGATACTTTAAACAAGATGCCCATATACACAGAGACATATAATCGTGGAGGGACAACACCCCATAAATTAGACTTCACTAAAATGAAGACTTTCATTTCAAATAATCATTAAGATAGTGGATAGACATGCCATAAACCATGAGAGGATTCTCTAGTATGTATTTTTGTATTTATGACAAAAAGATTTTTTCTGAACATATACAGAACTCCCTGAAAGAGACAAGCTATATATACTGATGTATGAACATGCAAATTATGTATTATATCGTTAAGATGATATGGAAGTATGCATAATATATAATTTAAATAAGCAAAACAAGCATGTTCCAAGTAAGAGGATATCCAAATGGTTAATGAAAAATAAACACGAAAAAGTTCTCAACATCTTGGTCATCAAGGAAATGTACATTTTAACCACAATACCACTTCAGGATCTACCAACATGGAGACAATAAAAGTCTGATATAAGAAGGATTGCAAAGGATTTATAGCAACTGGAATGTGCACGTGGTTGATGGAGCATAAACATGTTCACCATCCTAGAAAACCGGGGGGCGGGGCTTCCCAAAGCCAAACATCCCCCAGCCTGGGAGGCCGACTTCCATCCCCAACAATACACCCAGCAGAAAAGACTGTAAGTCCACAGACCCATCGCAGGACAGGTTCTGCCATCCTAAAGCTGTGGCACCTGATGGGGCCTTAGCACGTGGTGCCCGAGGGGAGCCAAAGCCCTCGTGGTGTGGGGCCCTCAGCTGCGATCTAGTCCCCTGGGGTGTCCAACGTCTTCCGCTTACACACACTTGGACGACCTGCTGTGGGCCCCCCAGACAAGCAACACTTTGGGGCAGTTGAAATCCCCAGCCAGGCAGGTTTTTGTTCAAAGTTTATTCACCGTGGGAGGACTTTGTAGAGCTTGCTGGCAGTAGTAAACCCCGACGTCCTCAGCCTCCACCCTGCTGATTCTCAGGGTGAAATCTGTCCCTGACCCGCTGCCACTGAACCTATCAGGGACCCCAGAGGCCCGATTGGAAGCATAATAGATGAGGAGCCGTGGAGACTGGCCTGGCTTCTGCTGGTACCAACTTAAATAGGTGTATCCATTACTGTGCAGGAGGCTCTGACTGGCCCTGCAGGAGATGGAGGCTGGCTGTCCAGGGTTGATGGGCAGGGACAGAGGGCTCTGTGTCATCACAATATCCCCACTGGATCCTAAAATTATGAGAGAGAAGTTCAAGGATACATACAGACCTTATAGGTCATTTTCCTGATTTTCCTTTTGTTAATTACTTCAGGTTAATCATTTTGAAAAAGAAAATGACCCACATCATAATGAAAACAATAATATTTACAAGGCACAAAGGTGATTCTTTCTTTTTCAAAGTCCTCATCCGACACTGGTCACTGTTCATTTTAGCTGGTTCTTAAATATCAAAAGCCAAAGATCACGTTCTCTTCCCTGTAGCATGAACATGGTCAGAGTACACATGGGGAGCAGTGGGGTCACTCTCGCTCACCCTCCTCACCCCATTCTCCTCTCTCATCCCCCCTCTGCACTCACCTGGGATCCAGAGCATGAAGAGCCCCAAGAGCTGAGCAGGGAACTTCATTTTGCGAAGCTGAACTGATGAGCTCTCATAAGTCAAGGCAAGTTTAGAAGTGACTTTTTATCTCAGACTTGCAAAGGAAGGTCCTCCCTAGGGGACACTATGCAAATGTCCTGTGGCTGCAGCAGAATTGAAAGAGCCAACAAAGCAAACCATGAGAGACTCTTGAATGCTGAGAACAAACTGAGGACTGATGGGTGTGGGAGGGGGAGGGGGGAGATGGGCATGGAGGGGGGCACTTGGGATGAGCACTGGGTGTTGTATGGAAACCAACTTGACAATAAACTATTTGTAAAAAAAAAAAAGAAAGAAAGAAAAAGAAAAAGAAAAAGAAAAGAAACAGCCAACAAAGGGTAAAGCTTTTATCATGTGAACACATTCGCATAAAGCATGTTGTGGGGTTGGAGGAAAAGCAATAAAGACACAGTTCTTGCTGCCTGCAGAGTGTGAAGTAAGATCTGATCATGGAAATCTGGGTCTGCGGTGAGGACACGGCACTGGCCTTGACCCTCTAGAAAGCAGAGACACACTGAATATGTAGACATGTGTGTCTAGTTAGGTTCAACCACTGGGAAGTGAAGGGCCATCTTCTTGGCTTCCTGCCCCCTCATCTACAGACAAAATAGTTCCCATCAACGCTGCTGGAGATCAAGAGGGTGTTTCCTCCAGCAGAGGGTGTTCTGCTCCTTCAAGTGTGGTCAGCTCTCTGTGGTCCCCAGGGTAACAGGTTCAGAAAGTGAAACGCAAGTGTAGAAACTGCCATTGTAGGTCATGTGGGGAGGTAAGCACCATGAAAGCACTCTGGGAGAGAGAGGCCTTGACAGGGAAACCAGGCCGTGTCCTCCGTATAGAGAGCTAACAGCCCGATTCATGTCAGAGGAGGACAGGGAAGATTCATGCACCAGGCAGTGAATATAAAATCCTGGACATCCACTGACGGGTGTACCTCCCATCATACTTGCCTCACACGTACCAGAGAAACCAAAGGAATTTCTTCACGGAAGGCTTCCTAAGAGAGCGGAATCACAGAAGCAAGGACTGTGTTTTCTGTGTGGTGTTAGAAATCTCTTCTCGTACAGTCTTTCTCATCATGGAGGACAGGCTCTGTCAGGCCTTCCAGGTTCTCGTTCCTTCTGTGTGACAACCTGAGTCTCTCCCCGACCTGAATGAGTCACGGCCATGGCCATGAACGTAGAGTTCAAGGAGATTTGTATGTGAGAAGAGCAAGAACTGGAGACACTGTTTGAACGTCTTGGGGTAACCCTTTCCTGTGACTGATGTTTCCCTGCCTTTACCCCCAAAGATGCCACTGCTCAGGGCAAGCCGGATACCCTGCCGCGGGGCATTCAAGTAGGAGAGGCACCTGAGTCTCTGTCCCTTGTCAGTGATTCAAGTCAGAATGGATTGAACAGTTTGTGGAAAATGGAGCTGATTTTAAATTCATACACGGAGTAATCACCGTCCTTTGTTACCCAAAACAAAACAAAGAAACCAGCCTAGAGCGGATCAAAAGATCAAAAGCAGAGTGTGGCTCTAGGTCATCTTGGGTAACCAACCCCAAGTCAGACTTACTGCAAAGAACACAAATAAACACAGTCTCCACGAGCTTCTCAAAGAGAGTTTGGCTTGACTCTCTTCTGGGCAATCCTCCAGAATAAGAATTTTTAACAAGATTGGAAAATATGATTCCGTAAAAATGATACAGGCTTTTCACTGTTGAGCTCTATGGGAAGAATCTGGGTGGCCAGTGACACATGATGGTAAGGAGACAGGAATACAATAAATGTCTCCTGTTTCACGACTAACAATTTCATTTACCTTTTTACTTTCATTGCCTTTTAGAACTTCTGTGTGTCTTTTAGTTTTATTCATTATGCTACCTCCTTTAATTCTGAATCTTCCTTTAGAAAATATCAGACCTCTAATTAATCATCCTGGAGTAAGAACTCGCAAGCATATGCAGCTGAACAAGAAAAAAAAATTGAATTGTACATGAAAACAAAGATGACAACAGAAAAAGTACAATACCATATACCTTCACCTATTTTAAAGGGTCATTCTACAAAGATATAAATTAATCAGTTGTACCTACTCTCCAGGATAGAAACACATTTATGGGGAAATGAATAGCAACAAGACATCTGTCATGCTTTTGTTTAATTACACATGGGTTCTTAAAATATTAATACTTACAAAATATTTTAAGGTATTTAATTTGATAAAATATTACTTACTATTTCCTGTGTAAATTAACTGATTCCTCTTTAAAAGTCTGCCATTATAACTGGTTCTTTTATCTCAATCTGTTGCCCTCAAGAATTCAGAAAGTTCAAAATAAAAGAATTCTTTTCAGATAAAAAAAAAGGCTTTGTATTACTTATTTTAAAATTTAAACCCAAGGTAGTTAACATATAGTGTTATAACAGTTTCAAGAGTAAAGTTTAGGTTTTCATCTCTTCATATAACACCCAGTGCTCATCCCAACAAGCGCCCTCTTTCATACCCACCCTCCATTTAGCCTGTCCCCCACTCAACAACCCCCCAACAACCCTCAGGTTGTTCTCTACATTTAAGAGTCTCTTATGGCTTACCTCCGTCTATGTTCTAATCTTATTTTTCCCCTCCCTTGCCCTAGGTTCATCTGTTTTGTATCTTAGATTCCACATATGAGTGAAGTCATATGATATTTGTCTTTCTCTGACCCACTTATTATGCTTAGCAGAATACACTCTAGTTCCATCCACTTTGTTCAAAATGGAAAGTACACTTTTTTGATGTCTGTTTTGTAGTATTCCACTGTGTATATATATACAGTATATATGTGTATTCCTTATGCATTCATCAGTCGATGGACATTTGGGCTCTTTCCATAGTTTGGCTACTGTTGATAGTGCTGCTATAAACACTGGGATGCACGTGCCCCTTCACATCAGCATTTTTGTATCCTTTGGATAACTACCTAGCAGTGCAATTGCTCAGTCTTAGCCCAACTCTAGTTTTAATTCTTTGAGGAACCTCCGTACTGTTTTCCACAGTGGCCGCACCAGCTTGCATTCCCACCAGCAGTGCAAAAGTGTTTTCCACGAGTATCTACCTCTGTTGAAGACAAGAGGAAAGGACAAAAGAAATGTATGTTTCTGGTATGAGATATGATGAAAGAAAATGACCAAGGAACTATTTTTAATTAGTTTTCACTGAATGATCTTACAAAATCTCTTCCCACATCGACTCTTTCTTGTCATGTATTTTGCACAGCCACAGCCATGAGTTCCCAGTTTAACAGGAGGTTCTGTGTGTTAGAACAAGAGAAACAGGATTCACTCCCTTCAAGTTTAGTGTATCCTGGACATTTCCATGGACTTGCATCAGAGACGCTCACTAGTACCTGGGTGCTGGTCAGAACTGCTCCACAGCATTAATTTCAGACTTCTTGCCCCAGAGCTCCAGCATTGGAGAATGCTGCCCTTTTGACCCCCAGCCTTGGGGGGCTTTGTTCTCGCAGGCAGGCGTGGAGATGAATCACCCAAATTGGAAACTTGGATTGTGAGAAAAAGAGTAACAGTGAGAAACATGTGTTTTCCTTTGTTACAAATCAATGTCTGAAAAGGCTACTCTTACAAAGTATTCCTTAGGAATCTTCAGTTTCAGACAGTTTGTTATTCTCTGCAAAATTCAGGTAAAAATCTGTAAGAGTCTCTGATTCTGGCTGTTGTTTTATCACATAATCTGTAGCCCTGAAATACACCACACACGTAACTTTCTATAGAATTGGTCACCCAGGCTGCACGTCTTTCCTATACTACCTGTAGACAGAAAGTGTGATGCTCTTAATTCTAATAGACCATCCTGTGCCCTGGACGCCAAAACTGCCCAGTAACCAAGTAGGTCTTCTATTGTGCCCGATTCGTGAGTCCCCAGAGACCACCAAGGAGCCGACACCGATGCAAGTACAAAAGGTCTTTATTACAAGCTCGAGCAGGGGCTCACCCACCTACCGGTGTAGTGACATCAAGGTGAAGCCCCAAACAATAGCAAACAGGGTTTTTATGGGGTAAGGGATGGGGTGTTACAGGGCACACATTGTACGTATAGCATCATCACATAAACACCAATTACAATTGTATAGTACCCATGGTAACAGCTTTGACCATTCAGTATCTGTGAGGTGTTCATTACTTTTGGTGGGACCCAGCATGACTTTTGAGAATCCTTTGAAAATGACCAATTATGAGGTGAGTTCAAAGGGCCCACGTGGGGTTCAGGCAAGCGGTGAGAAATTGGCTAGGTTGTATAAAATAACTGTCTATAATCTTTAGTCTTTGACTCAGACTACAGGAATGTTTTTAACTTCTTTTGATTGGCTGATCTGAGGGTGGTCCGAGGGTGGCTTCAGCCTTGAGAACTCTGAGACTTTTCCTGGAACTGGGGCTACGTGCAGCCTGAGGTTGTTCTTAATGGAGGCCTTAATCTCAAAATGACATTACTTAGGCTCCTCACATCAGGCCTGGACACAAATGGTTACATCTGGTGAAGGGACAAGTGGGGTGGGGGTTGGGGGACAGAGCGCTCTCTGTGTCTCTATACTTGACCATCAGCATCTGATTGGGAAACAATCTTACACAGGTTGCTGTAGTTTTGTGTGTGTTGTCAGAGGAGATTAGTTCAGGCTCAATGACACTGGAAGCCTGAGTGTGACATGGGAAGGCAGTCTTGCAAAGGTCACTTCTGAGTCTGTGTCTTGTCACAGGTGGGGAGTAAGAGACTCTCTCACATTGTGGGCATGTGTGCTGTCCATTTGTGGGTCCAAACAGTTCAAACCCACGCTGTTTTGTTCAGGGTTAGAGACTCACAGAGGCCTCCTCCCTTCATGAACACAAATGGAGGTACAACCTGATTAAAGATCCGGTGATGTCATTGTCAGAGCACTGAGATCGCCCGGCCATTGAAGACACCCCCAATCGTAGGTGACCTGGAGGGTTTCCCTGCCCCTGAGGCCCCTGGGATTAAATGTGTCCATCTCTTCAGA